GTCATCCTATCAAGGCCATGGCAATTGCTCTTTTTCTCCCAAGAGTTAGGCTGCAGAGCAGCAACCCATATATTTCTACCTAAGATTCTCTGACAAGTTCATCTTAATATCTTGCTTTGTCTTGTTTTTATACTGGACAAACCATGCATCTTTATTTACCTATTTGTTGGTGTTAATAAATATTTGCCCTACCCTCTACTGAAAGATGTTGTATGACTAAGGATAATTATGAAGGACTTTCAATTAAGAAAGGATTTAAATCCAATCAATCCATTTTAAATGTTATTGTTGGCTCCAAGTGTTTGGTAGATGAATAATTAAATGAAAGAATGAATAAGTAAGAGAATCTTTTTTTTTTTTTTTTTTTTTCCTTTTTGAGACCGGCTGCACCGTGCTCAGCCAGTGAGCGCACCGGCCATCCCTATATAGCATCCGAACCCGTGGCAGGAGCACTGCTGCGCTCCCAGCACCGCACTCTCCCGAGTGCACCACGGGCTCAGCCCAGAGAATCTTTCTTCTGTAGTCCCCATAACCATTCTATGGATGGATGAGAATTTTTTTTTTTTTTTGGTGGCCAGCCAGTACATGGATCCGAACCCTTGTCTATGGATGAATGAGATCTTAAATGTACCCTATTGCAGTCGAATAGGGAGGAAGTGTGATGTCTAGCTTACAGGCACATTTAGTGATCAATAAAGGGAATATAAAGGAGAATTAAGTAGAGCTTGTATCCTGCAACTTTTGAGTTGTTTTTTAGGTGTAAAATAACTGACAGGATGATCTCTTAAGGCCTCTCTTCAGAAATCCAGATTTTAGTAGTACTGAGTTTGAGTAGATGCATCTGTCCCTGCCAGCTGTCCTCCTGGATCATTGAGTGTGGGCATCTGAGAGGATAGTAGCAGACCAGGAATGCAATATGCCAGGGTTGCAAAGTCATTTGAATAATATGCTAGGGCAGCCAAGATTGGGGTTAAGAACTTTAGCCTCAGTAGCACTGTGTTATCCAACAGAGCTAACTAAACAATAGCTCATCTCAACAGATTTTCATGTAGCATCTCTGGTCCAGGTACTTTGCTAGGTACTGGAATTACAAAGATGCATAAGAAACTGTCCTTGTCTTTGAGGCAATTAAAGTCTAAATGGAGAGAAAGACACCTAAATAATTTCAAAGCCAAGGTAGTTAGAGTAGCTATAAAACTTTCATTTTTTTTTTTTTTTTTTAAATGACCAGTAAGGGGATCTTAACCCTTGACTTGGTGTTGTCAGCACCACGCTCAGCCAGTGAGCCAACCAGCCATCTCTATATGGGATCCGAACCCGTGGCCTTGGTGTTATCAGCACCGCACTCTACCGAGTGAGCCACGGGCCGGCCTTTTTGTGTGCTTTTATTTCATTTAAATTTTAATTTAAATAGCCACATGTAGTTAGCAGCTACTACTGGACAGCTTAGGCTTAGAGTTTTCGACCTCTGTAAGATTCTGTATGATCTGGGCCTCCATTACCTCTGCTCATCTAATTCTCACTCACCCATTCTAGCCATACCAGCCTCCCTACGGTCCTTCAGATATACGTGGCGTGTCCTGCTTCTGCATGGCTCTCTCTCTTGCCTCCTTCAAGTCTTTGCTCAGATGTCACCTTCTCAAAGAGGCCCACCCTAATCATCCCTGAAACTCCTAATCTCCCTGACCCTGCTCTTGATTTTTCTGTATCACTTGCTGTTGCTAACATGTTATGATTTTTATTACTATTATTATTATTAACTGTTCCTTCCCCCCACCTGGTAAGTGTCATGAAGATTTTTTTGTCTCTTTGTTTACCTATATATTCCTAGTATCAAGAATAGTGTCTGGAAAATAGTAGTGATTACTATATCCTCCTGATTAAACTAGTAGGATTCAGACCTGGCCTGTCTACACCAGAACCTGTGTTCTTATTCACCACTACAACTTCCTCCTTGTGAGAGTATTGTTCCTCTCAAAGTGCATGAGAGAAGCTTCATCTGAAAGAACAGATAAGAGAAAGCAAGTATCCCTAATCTGTCTAGTTTCACTGAATCATTACGTGTCTTTAAAAAAATAAACAGCTGCCTTTTAGACAGCTAGCTGCCTTATAAGTGGCAGTCCAGAAGAGCACATCAGCTCTATCTAAAATGCAGTGTCTCCCTATTTTACATATAGTAAACAGGAGGAAGAGACAGTGTGGTCTTCTAGAGTCAGCTGGAAGAGATCAGAAGCCAACTCAGTTTACGTTATAGTCCAGTAGAGCCCAGCATTTGAAGGTGCTTGTCCGGGCTGACCGATTAGCTCAGTTGGTTAGAGCTCAGCCCCATAACCCCAAGATCACGGGTTCAGGTCCCTGTACCGGCCAGTAACAAAAAAAGAAAGAAAGGAAGAAATGAAGATGCTTGTTAATAGATTAGATTACCACTCCCCTTTGACGTCCAGTCTGGTTCATATCAACCTCTTTGGAATTTCAGTTCAGTTTGGATAACAGCATAGCCTGCCCCACATTCACTAAGGGACTACCCCAGGAACCCCAGGCCAGAATCCCTCTATCCATTTGTGGTCTTGCTGGCCAGAGCAGCAGATCTCTTAGTGAAAAGCAGACTGGTCTCTGGAATTGGAAGGGAGGCAGAACTCTGCTACACCTCATTTTCCTTTGTTATTCCTTTTAGCTTGGCAACACTAACAGCAAAGAATGAAATGTTTATATATAAAATAGATACAGCATTTCATGTTAATTTGCTGGATGCTGAAATCTGTTCTTAGATACCCACCAATCCTGAAGTAGAATTTATTTTATCTTTTGGATGTCTTTCCCTTTTTCCCATTATACCTGATAATAGCTTCCATTTATCAAACTTCTATGTACCACATACTGCAACGCTTTATGTACATTATCATTACTGGTCACACAACTCTGTATTGGAGAAACTGAGGCATAGAGGGGTTGGGTAAACTCACTCAAGATCTCTGAACCAGGGCCGGCCCGGTGGCGCACTGCTACAGTGCGCCGCTTGGGAAGCGCGGCGGCGCTCCCGCCGAGGGTTCGGATCCCACATACAGACCGGCCGCTCACTGGCTGAGCGAGGAGCGGGGGCAACACCGAGGGTTGCGATCCTGTAGCCGGTCCCGGTCCAGTACGGGCGCAACACGGAGGGTTGCGATCCGTTGCTGGTCACGAAAAAAGACAAAAAAAAAAAGATCTCTGAACCTACATGGATCATACTCTTAGCCACCTCTAAGGACACCTCAGTACGGGCGCAACACGGAGGGTTGCGATCCGTTGCTGGTCACGAAAAAAGACAAAAAAAAAAAGATCTCTGAACCTACATGGATCATACTCTTAGCCACCTCTAAGGACACCTCTGCTGAGCCTTAGGTTGTCTTGGATGGGCGATAATTCCTTCTGTCTCTTCCAAAGAAGAAAATTAGGTTAATGTTATATCATTTAAAAGTCTTCTTAAAAGGGCCGGCCTGTGGCTCACTTGGGAGAGTGTGGTGCTGATAACACTCAGGGCACAGGTTCGGATCCCATATAGGGATGGCTGGTTAGCTCACATGGGATAGCGTGGTGCTGACAACACCAAGTCAAGGGTTAAGACGCCCTTACTGGTCATCTTTTTAAAAAAATAAATAAATAAAAATAAAAGTCTTCTTAAAGGGCAAGATATTTATTTGGAATCCCATAATCTACTTAGGAAAGGAAACAGTGTGAGGCATGCGAAGGGAGAAGCTCATTCATACCTCCTCCTTCCACACAGTGCTGAGAGTTTCATCCTTTAAAAAGTCACAGGGCAAGGGCTGGCTGGTTAGCTCAGTTGGTCACAGCGTGATGTTATATTACCAAGGTCAAGAGTTTGGATCCCTGCACCAGCCAGCCACCAAAAAAAATAGAAAGTCACAGGGCAAACTGTGAAAGTAGCGGTAGCAAAAGTAAACCAGTAATGTGGAATTATAGCCAAAGGTAAGCGAGTCGTGTTTAATAGTGTTCCTACATCTTTTGCTCCCAAGCACTGGTGTACAATATCTCCTCTGCACTATCGCAACGACCTCCTCCCTCTGGTCTGCCCTCTTTACTGTCTTCCCTCCAGTTCGTCTTCTATACCGTGCCCATAGTTATCTTTTACAAAAGTGGATCTGATCAAGGCACTCTGTGGCCTGACAGCCTCCTTTGGGCCAGACCCACCCACTTTGCCAGCAGCCCTGCTGGCCACTCTTCCTCTTATCGCCAGCACTGCACCCTTAGCTCCGCCCTGCAGGGCCTTCAAGCTTTTACAACCGTGCATGTGCTCATACTGTTCTCTGCAGAAACATCCATCCCTGCCCCCTCTCATTCGTTGGCTGCATTGGAGTTCATGAAGGTAGTTCTTTATCTTTATTATATATAGCACCTTATTTTTATCACTGTTGTAGAGCTTATCAACATTGTGTTTTAATTACTTACGTGTGTGTGTGTGTGTGTGTGTATGTGTGTGTCTTTCCATTTGACTTTGAACTCCTTAAAGGCAGGAGAGTGATCTGTTTGTGTTTGCATTTCCACACCTAACACTGTTTCTGGTACACAGGTGTAGAGTAAATGTGCATTGACTATTTAAATGAAAGGCATTTGCAAAGTTTTGATCTGTGAAGAAGTGGGTAATGGCTTTTATTGTTTTACTGTAGTCTTACTGTAGATGATACAGAAAAATTAAAAAGGCAAAGTTGAATTGACCCCAAAGGTCAATAAAGGAAAAAGAGCAGGCATAAAGTTGAGGTACATTTATACCAGTGTTTTTTGTCTTTCATTCTGATAAAGGATTCTGATTACTTTTTTTTTCTTTTTGGATCCTGATTACTTTTCAACTTAACACATGCTTTTCACAACCTGAGGACCTTATTGGAGGAGAGTTGCATCCCTAGAAAGTCCCCCAGGAGGTTTATAAGAGGTTACTCTGGGTTTGAGTGATGTTCTGAATTTAGTCTAGTCCCAAGTGGCTAAATCTCTTCTTTTCTCCACAGGGAAACAACTGGAAGGCATCTGGTAAGTTGTCGGGGTCGGGGCAGGGAGACTCCTTACACTGATTAGTTTATGAAACAAAGCAGCACCCTACACATTTCAGGTTCTAGTCTGTGGCTTCCAGCTTGAAACCTAGCTCTCTGTGTTGTAAATCTTCAAGTCCTGAGGCACTGGTTCTCCATTAGGGGTTATTTTGCTCCCCCCCCCGACCCCCCGCCCGCCGGACATTCGGCAGTGTCTAGAGACATTTTAGATTGTCACAATTGAGAGAAGATGCTACTGGCATCTAGAGGGTAGAGGACAGGGATGCTGCTCAACATCCTAGAATGTACAGGACAGCCCCCCCATCACAAAGAATTATCCGGTCCCAAATGTCAATAATGCCAAGGTTGAGAAACCCTGATCTATGGCACTATTCCTACTTATACCTTTGTTTGTTTACTTTTATAAGGCTGGTCACCATAGTCATAGCCTTAGGCAGGAATTATTCTCATTGCAGTGTGGTGTTTGCTTTTTCTCAGATAAGTTTTAAGTTTTTTGGCTCATTGTGTCTCTCTGTGTGGCAGGCATACCTCCATAGTTGTGCACAAGGATGAGTTCTTCTTCTGCAGTGGTGGTATCTCCAGCTGTCCCCCGGTGAGTGTCTTCTCCCACACCCTGTCCTGCAGCCTCCAGTTCCTGGGGCTCCCTGCAGACCAGGAACTTTGCTTCTACTGTGTACCTCTGGCTTCTAGCCTAGTGTATGGAGGCCTGTGGCATAGTTCCTCATAACCACCTTAAGACTCGGCTCAAGAAAACCTTTCCCAGATACCACAGCCAGTTGCCCTCCTCTCTGCTCCCAGGGCACCCATGGGTCCCTCTGTCTCCCACTGAGCATGTTACAGTGAAACAAGTTGTTTCTCAGTCTCCACAGGGAACTGTGTGTAAGCTCCTTGCAGGCCGAGACTATGTCTTACCTTTACACCCCCATCACCATGCAGTGCCTGGCTCCTAGTAGGAACTCAGCTGACGTTCATCTTGATGATGAGAGGTAAAGTGAGTCACCCAAAGTTACAGAGCCAATAAGAGGCATTAGTACTAGAATTCAGGTCTCTCTGACTCTAAAGCCCAAGCCCTTTTCCAAAACATTTCTGTCAGAACTATCTAAGGGCTGTCACGGGAGGAGCACAAGCACAGATCGAGCAGCTGTTTGATGCACATCAACAGGAAGTCCTGCTCGAGTTCTTCCTCTCTCATCGGCCCCCAGCATACTTCGTCTAACAAGCCTTCATTAAGCCCATTCAGTTCCACCTTGCAACCATATCTTAAATCAGTCTAGCTCTCTTCATCTCAGCCCATTTCTCCAGAGTTTTCACCGTAGTCCAGGCCACCCTCCTGTCTAGCCTGGAGCACAGCAATAGCCTCCTGGTCTCCTTGCATCTACTCTTCCTCTTCAGTCAGTTCTGCACACAGGAGGCAAAATGATCTTTTCAAAATGAAAATCTGATCATTGTATTCCCCTCCTTAAGTCAGAGTTCTCCCCATGGTTCTTGGAGTAAAACCAGAAAGCTCAGCATGGCCTCCTAGGCCCTATCTGATCAGGTCTCTGGCCAGCCTCTTCTCAGGTGGTGCCCTCCCCCACCCCTGCTCTCTTCTCATTACTCGAACACACTTTGGACATTTATACTCTGTACTCTGACATCAGTATACCTCCCTGATCCTTCACATGATTTTGCCTCTCCAGCCTTCAGATTTGAGCTCAATGTCACTTCCTCAGGCAAGTCTTCCCTGACTCCTCAGACTGGGAAGATCCCCATCATATACAATGTTGACATTCTGTATTTTTCCAGCACGACCTTTATTGCAGCTCGTAATTACACACTGGTTTGCGGAATTTTTTTTCCCTGCCTATAAGCTCCTTGAGGGTAAGAATCTCATCTGTTTTGTCCACATTGTACCCCCGTGCATAGCATAAGGCACAGTATATAGTAAGTTCTCTATGCATATTTGTTATATGAGTGTTAGATGAGTGAATAATAGGGCTCAAATAGTGACCTTTTGTCTCTTACAACTTTGAGATAATTATTCTCCAAGTACCATAATTATCTATCCTGCACCACAGGCTTTCCCTAATGCCTAGAACAATGTCATCCACATAGTAGGTGCTGAATAGTTATGAGTTAACGATCTTTTCAGAGAGGTCTGCTCTGGAGTGTTCTCCTGGGTAATCCTTTTGTTTCCCCATTGGTTTCCACACTGGACCTCAGTCTCTATGTTAGTCTGCTGTGGCAGTCTGTTAACCCCATGGCTGAGGGTTTTCTGTAGGCCTTTTAGGGGCCATTAATACCCTAGCCCTGTCACCATCATTAGATTAGCCTCGCAGATCAAAAAAGAACTGAATTGGGGAAATATTTGCCAGCCTGCCAGATTTCTCATGGTCTTTCACATTTTCCCATTGTCACAAGAGATAACCAAGTGTGTCACAAGAAAAACTGGCTGCATACTTTATGAATACAGGCATGGATAGATGGCCTATCAAGTGTGAACCATTTCTAGTCATCTGTTCTGTTTTCATGATCTGGCATGTTGGGGACAAGAGGAGACCTCAGATTCCGGGTTTGTTTCTTTTATCAACTGAATGAGTGGACAGTGTAAGGAATCAGACCTGCAAGAGAATCCCAGGACTCCACCAAAAAACAAGAAGACTGACTTCCTAGCCATCCTGCCAGTATGTGCCAATGGAAAGTCACCAGGAAGCTGTAAGCTCATTGTACCTTGATACAAACAGGAAATAACACTCTTCATCTGACCAGTGTGCTCTGATAGTTAAAAATGATGTTGTTGGAAAAGAGTGTTGTGGTCTTCTGTGAGAAGCCACATTAAAAAATTAAATAGAGATGATGATTTAATGACTTTCTTTGGGTTGGCTCTTGTAGGGAGGGACATTGCTTGGGCCCCCAGACTCTGTGGTTGATGTGGGGAGCACAGAAGTCACAGAAGAGATCTTTCGGGAGTACCTGTCCTCCCTGAGGGAGTCCCTGTTCCGGTGAGTGGAGACAGGGGTGGTGGTTAGTTGTGTCTGTCTCCCCCACTAGGTAATCGACCCACAGAGGGCAACCACTGCATCATATCCCCCAGAGCACTCAGCACAAGGCCTGGCCCAGGTTTTGCTGAATGAATATGAAGAGAACCCAATTATCATGCTAAAAAAAGTGCTCAAAGTTGTTCCAAGGCAGGTATTCCATCCCAGAATACTTTCTGCTGAAACTTTTAGAGGAAAGAGGGACTATTTATTCCTTCTGAGCAAATGCTGTTCTCAACCTGTACTGGCCGAGTGCTTTGTCCTTAACAGCAAAAACAGGGTTTATAGAGGGGTTGGGATGGAATGCCAATGAGCAGATTTTCTCTTAAAGAAGTTTTAGGCAATTTCAATAAGGCTTAAACTCTATCTTAGAGCTCTGATTTTGTGAACGTAAGGATTCTCCTGAAACTGTGGGAGCCATATATTTTCATTTTATCCTTCCCTTAAAAATCAGTTCTTAATGGTCCACAGTGACAAATCAAGCAGTCCTTTTGGCATGTGAGAGAGGGAAAATCACAGTCCTCAATTCAGCTGTGCTCACCATTCTTCATCTGGTTTGAGTATTCCACATAGATGCTTGCTGGCTTTCTCATATGTTCTCCAAACATTTGCATGTGAGAGAGGGAAAATCACAGTCCTCAATTCAGCTGTGCTCACCATTCTACATCTGGTTTGAGTATTCCACATAGATGCTTGCTGGCTTTCTCATATGTTCTCCAAACATTTCTCGCAATGTGCAGAGGTGAGGCCTACAACCTGTTTGAACACAACTGTAACACCTTCAGCAACGAAGTGGCACAGTTCCTGACCGGGAGGAAGATTCCTTCTTACATCACTGACCTGCCCTCTGAAGTTCTCTCCACGTAAGTGTGTTCTCTATCTCTGCCCCTGCTATGGCCAACCTTGAAAATCCCCATTCATAGTCAGTGCCCTTCCTCTGGACCATACCTGCCCTCTCAATTGCAGCAGAACCCTCCCAGGTGGGCCTGCCCTGATGGCAAGTTCTAACACAGAGGCCACCATTCTCTCCACCCACTGATGCGCACCTGTAGTACCTCCACCCTTCTTGGAGTTAGGCCAACTCTACCCTGGCCAAAGTGCAACCACAGAACTTGGAAACCCACTTGACACTGGCTTCGGTGTTTGTACAAAACCCTATCGTCTGTCTTTTCCATTGTGCACAAGGCATGCCCCTCCCCAGAAGCTCCCTGTTAAAATACAGTGTTAGACAAGCAGAGAGGAGGTCAGAGAAACAGGAGGGTGGCTCGTTTTATAACTGTCGGTTTGTCTTTCTTCCACTGCACCATGAGCTCTTTGACTACTTCAAGGACAATGTTCTACTTGCCCTCATTCCTTTTAGTGCACAGTCAGCCTTCGGTACATGTTTTCTCCTGGAATACTCTATAGCCCCTTCTGCCCTTATGGGGTCCAAACTTTGGAAGTGCGTGGTGGGCCATCATCCAGGAATTGTTACCTGAAAGGACACTGACACTCCCAAAGCCATCTCACCCCTCACCCTCCCTTTGCTGTTGATTGCCTTCCAGCAACCTCTGCCCACTCTAGGACCACGTCCATTTGCTGACTCTCACTCAGTTTCTTCTGAACTAGGGCCCTGTCCAACAGGAATCCTTGCAGGTTTAGCAGGCTCAGTAGGGTGAGCTGTTTTTCATACCTGCGTAGTAATCTCACAGGAAAAACTTGCATAGGAAACAAGGCTGCTGAGGAGCCCATCTCCCAGCCCTAGCCCTGCCTTTCTGTCCCTTAGTGGGTGTGTTAAACCCCACAGCCCTAGGCCGCCCCGTGGCTCACTCGGTAGAGTGCAGTGCTGATAACACCAAGGCCGCGGGTTCAGATCCTATATAGGGATGGCCAGTTTGCTCACTGGCTGAGCATGGTGCTGACAACACCAAGCCAAGGGTTGAGATCCCCTTACCGGTTATCTTTTTATAAAAAAAAAAAAAAAAAAAAAAAAGACTGCTGTGTGGGCAGGGAGAGAAAATTAAATGAGGCAACAGGGTCCTCTGTCCTGGTGTGACAGTTCTGGTGCAACCACCGTCCACCCCTCCTCCCTACCTGTAGGCAGACTGCATCCCAGAGCCCACCCAGCCCACGTCTCTGTTTCCCCACAGGAGCTTTGGACAGGAACTTCGGCGCTTCCTGGACACCATCCTGATCCAGCCTCCTGGAGGGAGCACCATGGGCGGACCCAACGGCCAGAGCTAACAGGACTACATGGGACCGCTCTGCCTCACCAGGGCTTTTCCTTTTTAAACAAAACAAACCCTACCAGATTTCTATTTTATAATTTTACATCAGAGCTAACAACCAGGGGACGGCCTTTTAAATTTTCCAGGGAAGGAGATCGTCAGGCTGTACGTAGGACAATGCTGTTAAGAAACAGAACAAAGTGCCACCCCTTCTAATAGTATTACACTAATTTATTAAGGCTGTCTTGTCTGTGAGTTCACTTTTGACGCTGTTTCCTAAGCGTCTTCCACACTGGAGAAACGGAGGGGGGTTGTTTAAGCAGAAAGCAAAAGGCACAGTTTGGGGGAGCCCCAGCCTAGAACCTCTTTCCAGAGAACATCCAGTTCTACCCAGGTTGCCACCACCTGTGGGACCCAGATGAGTTTAATAACGTCCATGACCGGGAAGTAGTTACTCTCTAGTGTTAAATGAACCAAAGGATTTGGTGCATATAGGAACATTTTCAGGGTGACTAACCTAAGTGAACTCTTTAGCTACAGCCTTTCTCACCTTCCCTCCCCTACCCCAAGCAAGGCCAAGGCGCCAGGGCTGGAGCAGCCAGAGCCTCAGGATCAAGGGACAGTGACAGCGAGTATCAGGCCAGAGAAAACAGGATAAAGCCATTCCTCCTTCCACTGATTGCCAATCCTCTGCCATCAGTTTTGGGAAACCTGCCTTGCTGCTGTTCCTCAGCATAGCTGACCTGTCATAACTGATGGAAGTCTGGGCTGGAGTGGCAGAAACCAGGCCTTTTGTCTTCAAATAATGGTGAAGGTTATTTGCAGTCACTATAACCATCTACCCAGACCAATATGCGTATTTGGCTAAGGACCAAGGGGACATGATTTGCTGCTCTAGGAAAATAACCCTGATGTAGAAAGAATAATGGTGGAGAATCAGGGTGGCAAGAAAATTTTAGAGTTGTTTCTGATAGGGAGTTTTAGATCATCCTAAATGTGTTTTAAAGGCACACATTATTTCCATTGTCATTCTCATTTTAAGGAAGCTTGCTTGGGGCACAAGTGGGCATTTTCCTATTGCTGCTAGGAGATTACAGTCAGGGAACAGTCTGGAATCTCTGATCTGGAGAAGCTTTCAGATTCCCTTTCTTCACACGAGCCTCCCATTAGTTAGTTTCTGGGGAAGTGAGTGCGGAGAAAAGACTAAGAGCTGCCAGGTGCCCACGTCTCAGCTCTGACAGCCGTGGGCCCCTCCTGCCTTGGTTCCCTGCCACTTCTCAGACTTGAATTATGTTGTTTCTTCCTGGGGGTCCTCCTTGCAGCAAGGGCCTTTCTTCTCCACAAAGCTGCTGCTCACATCTGGCCCCATCCCCTGCTATCTTTGCCATTAGCCATTGCAGTTGGCATCATCAGGATCTCAGCTAGAGAAAAAGATGTCATTCTGCCTTAATGTTTGCCTGTGACCTAACCAGGGGCATGTGCAGCTGGGATGTCCAGTGACATTTTGGGACTTTAAGATTGGAGTCCAAACGAGTGAGCAGTTCAATTCTTTTCAAGACCCACTGGTTTGTCAATGTGCATGGCAGTAATAAATTAGAGCAAAAAATAGCAGGGACTGTTGTTTAATGTTGATCTACTGGCCCAAGGAGAATGCGTTTTGGAGGCTGGGTTTCCTCTGGGAGGGCAGCAAGTTGGTCGAGGCCATCGCTGTGCTTCCCACCAGTGTTCTTTCTGTTTCCAGCTTGCCTGGCCCAGCCCTTTCTCTCTTCCAGGCTCCTGCTCCAGACCTCTCTGCCCGGACCTCTCATCTCTTTCCCAAGGGTGCTGGGCATCACAACTCTTCTTTCTCCTCTCCCATTTCCAGGCTCAGCTGGTTTTGCTCCTCCCCCTCAGACCCAGGGCTATTCTGAGAAGTTAGTCTAAGTATCTCCCCTGAGAGAGTTTGAGTCACTTGGTTCCTTGAACCGTACCCCCTTCATGCCCAGCAATGCCTGTGCCCTAGGGTCTGTGGGGAGAGATGAAGGGTTCAGTGAGCAGTCTTCCCAGAGCTCTGCAGCAAGACAAGCTCTCCCTCCCCCCATGCCATCACTATTTGTGGAAGCTGAGGCCAGGAGCCCCCCAACCCCACCCTCACATTTCTGTCTATCCTGGAACCTCAGGAGCATGTTCATTGTGACCAGCTAACTCCACGTGGGTGTGTAAGAGGCAAGCTGGGTACGAAGTGAGTAGTGTACTTGTACCACACAGTGGACTCCTCCACAGAGGTCCACTGGTTTAAAGGGACAGGGAAGAGGAGGGATGAGATCATCACTCCCTCCCAGAAGTAATGCTTGTACCTTTGAGATTCCTTTATGCCCTTGAAAAGTCAAATTGATAACTGTGTCTAGTATGGGGGTGTTTGCTGGTTTTCTTTGGTGTTTTTTCTAATGCAATAAACTCATTTCTGCCTGCTGCATTTGTGTAGTGCTTGAATCGGGTCTGGGTATGCATCCAACATGAAGCAGCCCCGGGCTTCTCAATCTGTCCCCCTCTGAGCTTAACCTTGCTGAGTCTGGATATGCCCCCTGTGGTTGATTGTCAGCCTTGTGGATAAGAGGTGATGGTAGCAGGGAAGAATGTATGACTTTGTCTGTTGGTTTATAAACGTGAGGGAAAGGGCCCAGAGAGAATACTACTTGCCCAAGCTTATGGTGGAGTAAAACTTGAAGCCTGATCTGGTGGCTTCAGATTCTGAGATCTTCCCTAGAGGGCCTTGGACATCAGGGGGTGTCTGACCTCACCAAGAAGTGTTCTCTTCTAGCTTCAACTTGGCTATAAGTTAGGTCTATGGCCCTAGGCATCCCTCCCCACCTTGCTGCAGTGACCTCACTGAACAAGAGTTGGGGTTGGAGGACAGCTCTCTGAGCGCCCCCAGTACTAGCAGATGTGCCAGCCTGGCTAGAGGTATCTGCAGATTCAGTTGGCCAATTTCGAGTGAGCACCTTCTATGGGCCCGATCTGTTCTAGTTGCTTTCACACACAACGGACTTGAAATATGGGTACTGATCCCATTTTACAGAGGAGGAAACAGGTGCAGAGAAACTAGGTTATCCAGATAGCAAGTGGCTGGGCCTACCCTTGAATCCAGGCCATGTTTCTGACTATCACATCACTGAAACCTCATCACTGAGGCACTGTGTTTTTCCAGTGTGCTAGTTTAAGTCTAAAACAAGAGGTTCTGGCTCTCCAGAGGACACAGTGCTCGTGGCTTTGGCATACATATTTGCTTCCTAGGAGCTGACATGTTCAGAGGCAGGAGTCCTTAAGAGTGCCTACTCTGAGATGACACAGCCTGGGCTTAAGTCCCACCTTTGCCCCTTGTGGGCCTGTCCATTTCAGTTTGTCTCTTATCTGTAAAGTGGGGGAAGTAGGCCCACCTCACAGGGTGGTGATGAAGAGTGCCCGGCACAGATTAAATGCTTAATGACTGTCAAGCTAAGAGGGCAGAATCCATTCAACAGCCATTATCTGGGGACTCCTGCAAGCCAGCCCTATGCAGAGGCCCAGGACAATCCTCTCTGCTGAGGACAATTAACAAAACTAAGTGCTGCAGATTGCATCCATCTGCTTCTGGAGGAAATGGAAGAAGACAGGTGTTTCACCCTCAGACTGTGACTCATGGCAAGTCAGTCTGGGGTGAGGTCATTCAACCCCACAGGTGTTTCTCTGGGAGCCTACTGTGTGAAACAGCACTGGGCTCTGTCTCCCACCGGTTCCTAGGGAAACGGGTGAACCAGACCAGTAAGGCCCTGCCCAGGCAGGGATGGTACTCTAAGGAGGCTTGGAGGTGAGGGGGACAAGTTAGGTGACCTCAGATGATCATGGTGCCAGAGAAGAAATAAAATGAGGTGGTGGCATAGTGTGTGAGGGGAAATATGTGCTAAGAGGTGGGGGGAGGCTTCTCTGAGGAGGTGATATTTGATCTGAGACCTCAATGATGAGGAGCACAGGTCTGCAGAGAGAGCACCCCACACAGCAAGGGAAAAGAACCCTGGAGGGCCTGAAAGGAGCACAGCGGCTGGAGCACGAGAGCAAAGGGTGTAGCAGAAGACGGAGGAGCTGGTGGGGCCAGACAGTGCAGGGTCTGGAAGCAGGGGAATGATAGGATCTGATGTGCTGCTGTGTCGTAAATAGACTGCCAGGGCATCAGAAAACGGTGGTGTCAGGTAAGAGGTCGCATACACTGTATACCTGCTATGTGCCCACATCTGTGGAGAAGCCTGGAAATGAGTTCGGTTCCTGCTCTTCAGGAGCTTAGAGTGCCCAGGGGACAGAACAGCCCCTGTGGAACGTGCCATGACGAGCTGTAGGGACTGTGGAGCCAGTCAGCCACTTACCCTGCCTGCACAAGCATTTGCTGGTCTCTTCTAGCTTCGATTTGGGGTGTGCCTACATTTCTCAATTTGTTTTTTTCAAAATGGAAATTTTTTTTGTTATTTGAGTATAAAGGTAATATGTATTTAGAAAATTTAAGCAACCAATAAAAGTACAAAGATGAAAAGAAGGGCTGGCCAGCTAGCTCAGTTGGTTAGAGTGCAGTGTTAGTAACACCAAGGTCAAGGGTCCGGATCCCCTTACCGGCCAGCCACAAAAAAAAAAAAAAAAAAAGATGAAAAGGAAAAAAATCACCTGAAATTCCATCATCCTAAGAAACCACTGCTAGCATCTTGCAAACATCCTTGCAGATGTTTCTGTGCATTTGAAGACATACATACTACACGTCCTTTGGTACCTTGCTTTGTTCTCCCAACATGCAGTGAAGAGCTGTACATCCCCAGTGGCAGTGGGCAGTGGGGAGGATAGAGGAAGCTTGATGAGAATGTTCTAGCAAAGTTTCCCAAAGTCTGAGGGAGCTGTTAGAAGTGCGTGGAGGCAGGACCTACTTTGGAGTGGAATGAAGGTGTAGGTTGCCTGCGAAGGCTGATGTGGGAGTTGGACCATGAGACCTGAGTCTTTCGGGCCCAGATAGCGGCTGTGGCCTGAGAGAGCAGGCAGGAAGACCAGCAGGGTCTGGCACCCCATTGAATGTGAGTCCTTGACCACAAAGCCTGGCTGCTTTGGAAGGAGTCAGAGAGTGGTTGTGGGACTGGTCCTGGCCCACAAGGTTGCCCCCACTATTTCCCCGGCTAGAAAGAGCTAGGCAAGTTCACACCGCAGTGAGAGAGATGGAGAGCAGGTGGCCCTGTGGACTTGCACACCTGGCCCAGACAACTGCCAAATTCAGGGCTTGTCTTGGGTACCCCCAGGGCACCTCAGGAAGTCTGCCCTGCTCCCCACACACCTTAGCCCCTGTGTGGCCCTCCAAGAGCCCATGAAGTAACAGCCAAGCTCTTTGTCCTCAAATTTATCAAGTCCTCAAGCTTGTCCCTGGACACACCAGTGCAACCCCCACACCCTTCCTGGTCCAAGTGTTGGTCCTAGTCCCTGTCACTTCTGGTGGTTTCACACCTCCTCCAGGAGGTTTCACAGCCTCCAGGCAGGAGGTTCCCCATTTGCTCCACCTGGATCCCCTTTCCTCATCCTTAACTCCGCACTAGCACCAGCATGTCCTCTACAAGCCTGCCTGATCTCTCCCCACCCCAGAGCTGACCTCTCCCTGCTGTGGGTGCCTCCGGGCACATTCTCACCAGCCCAGCACGCTCCACGGCAGGGCCTGGCACAGAGTGATCCCCTGACTCTGAGACCTTCATCAAGACCTTCCTCTTGCTGAGCCTCAGTTTCTTCATACATAGAATGGAAACTATGGGGCCGGCCCGGTGGCACACTGGATAAGTGCGCCGCTTGGGAAGTGCGGTGGCGCTCCCGCCGAGGGTTCGGATCCCACATACAGACCGGTTCCCGCTCACTGGCTGAGCGAGGCGCGGGAGCAACACCAAGGGTTGCAATCCCGTTGCCGGTCCCCGGTCCGGTACGGGGGCAACACTGAGGGTTGCGATCTGTTGCCGATCTGTTGCCGGACACGGAAAAAAGACAAAAGACAAAAAAAAAAGAATGGAAACTATGGATCAGGTAGACTCTAAGTTCCCTCCCAGTGTGACTCCTCACCCTGCTCAGGCTTGAGAGGTGAGGAGAGTGACCTGCCCAAGTTCTCACAGTCCTTGAGACTGAGCTCTGACCTACAGAGATCACTGACCCCAGCTGTCAGGGGGCTGCCACACCTGCACCCCACCCCCAGCTGGGGCAGTACTGTGGGCGAGGCCATCTCTGTCCCCACTGACTTTGGCTGAGGGATCCCCAAGGGGGCCTATGCCACCCCAGCAACAGCCTCCACCCCTCCTGCAAACACCATCTTTGAGCATGCGCCCTTTAGCTGGTCTAAATTCAATGGATGTGTTTATTGTAAAAACAATGTGAGCCCTGCACCTGTTCTTTGCAGAGCCTCTTTAACCACACCTCCCCTGCTCACCTCATCTTCCTGACAGCCCAGCTAGGCTGGCAGTGTTGGCCCCATTTTTTTATTTTTTTTTTATTTTTTATTTTTTTTATTTTTTTCCCTTTTTGTCTTTTTTTGTGTCCGGCAACGGATCACAACCCTCAGTGTCGCGCCCGTACCGGACCGGGACCGGCAACGGGACCGCAACCCTCGGTGTTGCTCCCGCAGCCCCATTTAGAGGTGAGGAACAGACTCAGAGAGTGGGAGGGACCTCAAGGTCACAGGAGTGGGGGTTGTGGGGGGGAAGAGCAGCTCCAGGAACAGTCAGTTTGACTGTAAGCCCCACTACCAGAGGCTGCCCCCTAGCTGGGACTGACCATCCTCAAAACGTCACACTCCCCGTAGAGAAAAAGAGGGTCAATTAACTGGCCATGCTGGCATGTGGCCTATCAACAGCCAGGAGCCAGGAAAAAGCATGGGCTTTGGGGGAGCAGAACTGAGTAGGAATCCTGACTGTGCTGTGTGGCCCTAGGAAAGTCACTGCACCTCTCTGGTGTCAGTACCAACCTCTGGAAACTGAGTATAAGGGTACTAACCTCAGAGAACTGCTGGAAAAAGTAAGTGAAACAGCCAGCGTAGGAGCTACACTGCTCAAACCAAACATGAAAGTCACTAACCTCCAAACTTCAGCCATACGTCTGGCCCAGAAGAGCCCAGGGCCTGCCTTCTTGAGCAGAATCCTGCCAGGATGGGGTCTCAGGCCCTCTGCTTTCAGTCTTGGCTTCCTCTGGTTCCCTCAAAGTCACCTTCTAGCCAATCCTCCCCTCCTCCCAGCCCTGCTCCTCCCTTTCCCCAGGGCCTCCCCAGGTCCCACCTGAGCACCAGTTGCCAGGGATGTCTTCTTCTTAAAGGTACATAGGGGTGGCTACAAGGGCTACCTTCACCTGGTCCTGCTGGGTCCAGCGTGGCACGCTCCATAGCAGGGCCTGACAAAAGTGAACCCCTGACTCTGAGGCCTTGATCAAGGCCTTCCCCACTCTGAG